CTTCAAAAATAATAAAACACCTAGGAATAAACTTAACTAAGGAGGTAAAAAGCCTCTACAATGAAAACTATAAAATACTGAATAAAAGAAAAAGAAATTGAAGAAGACACTAGAAGATGGAAAGATCTCCCATTTATGGATTGGCAGAATTCATATCGTGAAAAAGACTATACCAAAAGTGATCTACAGATACAGTGCAGTTCTTATCAAAATTCCAATGTCATTCTTCACAGAAATAAACAGAAAAATCAATCCTAAAACTCATTTGGAAATATAAAAGACCCCAAATAGCCAAAGCAATCCTGAGTAAAAAGAAGAATGCTAGAGATACCATGATTCAAATTATACTACAGATCCATAGTAACAGCATGGCACTGGCACAAAGATAGATAGTAGACCAATGGTATAGAATAGCAGACCCAGAAAAAAGCCCACACATGTACAATCATCAGCTTTTCCACAAAGGAGCCAAAAATGTACTTTGGAGAAAAAACAGCTTCTTTAGCAAATGCAAATGGTGCTGGGAAACTGAATATCCACATATAGAAGACTAAAAGAAGATCCTTATCTCTCACACTGCACAAAAATCAATTCAAAATGAACCAAAGATCTTAACATAAGACCTAAAACTTTGAAACTACTCTAGGAAGTTACAGAGAAAACACTTGACTTTATAGGTATAGCAACCAATTTCTGCAGGACTCCAATAGCAAAGGAAATAAGAGCAAAAATTGACAAATGGGATTGCATCAAATTAAAAAGCTTCTGCACAGCGAATGAAGAGGCAACCTACAGAATGGGACAGCTATTCATCAAAGAATTAATATCTAGGATACATAAAGAATTAAAAAAAATTAAATACCAAATTAATAAATGACCTAATGAGTCAAACATATAGCTCTCAAAAGAAGTATGAATAGCCAATAAAAATGTGAAAAAAAATCCATTGTCATCAACCATGAAGGAAATGTAAATCAAAATATTGAGATTCCTTCTCACCCTAGTTAGAATGATAATCATCAAGAAAACAAATAACAAATGCTGGTGAGGATGTGGGAAAAAGGAGTCCTTTATACACTGTTAGGAGAAATGTTAAATAGTGCAGCCACTATGGAAATCAATATAGAGCTTTCTCAAAAAACTAAAAATAGAACTACCATATGATCTTGCTATACTACTCCTGGGCATATGTCTGAAGGAATAAAGTCAGCATACAGTAGAGATACCTGCATACACATGTTTATCATAGTACTATTCACAATCGTCAAGTTATGGAATCAGCCTCAGTACCCAACAACCAATGAACTGGTAAAGAAAAGGTTGTACACAGAGACAATGGAGTATTATTCATCCATAAAGAAAAACAAAATTATGTCATTTGCAGGAAATCAATGTTAAGAGAAATAAACCAGAATCAGAAAAGCAAATATCACATTGTCTCTCATATATGGAATCTAAGATTAAAAAAAAAAAAGACATGAATGTAAAAGGGAGACTATTTGGAGGGGGACCAGTGGGAGGGGCAAAGACAAAACAGTAGGGTGATGGGGGTATGAATATGATTATGCATATATAAAAATAGAATGATGAAACCCATTAAAATTGTAATAAAGGGGAAAGGGTGTGTGGCTCAAGTGGTAGAACATTCACCTAGCAAGTGTGAGGCCCTGAGTTGAATTCCCAGTATCACAAAAAAGATACTGTGAGAAGAGGTAAGAGAGGACCAGAATGAGTAATAGAGTGGATATGATCAAAGTATATTATATGCATATATGGAAATATCCCAGTGAAACCCCTTTGTATAATTAATTGGGCTAACAAAACATTTTTTTGCCACCCTTGCCTACTGGCAGCAAAGTGGTCATGAATACTATTTTTCCTTTAATCACTAATAATATTGGTTGTTGAAAATATTGTTATATAAAACAATAATTTTATCATTCCTAGGGGTTTTATTCTTTCTTTACTTTAGGCATTTTTTCCTACTGTGACTAAGAATAAAGGCATTTAGAGAAAGTCTTTCAGAATTCATTTTATAGCCCAGAACACAGTCATAACCAATCTGTGCTGCAACCACACCGACTCTGAGCAAGCCATTGTTCTTGAGATTTGCTAAGGTCAGCCAAGCCCTAAGCACATATAAATCTCCAAACTTTCCACCTTAACACTGGACATCTAACTACAAAGCAGAGGCTGAAAATAGACGAAGCCTAGTGCGTAAATACACTCCAAAGAGGTACATTTCCAAAGCCAGGGACCTTAATCAACAACACTATACACAAGCCAAAGAGGTATTTCATTCAGCAGGAAAATGACATTTCATTTTGAATAAGGCTAAACCCAACCTAAAGAAATTATGAAGACTTCTAAGTAGTCAAAGAAGAGTTTCTCCATCTGTTAGTTCTAAATCTAAAAAAAGAAAAACTAAAATATCTCCAAGTTTAGGTTAGCCTACTTTGTCTTTCACATTGCATGATATAATGGAAAACAGCATTGACACTTTCTCCTCCTCTCTCATTTCTAGCCAGTTCAAGTTGTTAAAACATAAGAAGCCAGTAGCAGATACTTACCTACTTACCTGTAGGAGTACACACATAGTGTACAGGAAGTAACAAGCTGTGATACTGAACACAGAAAAATGATCACAGTTTCATTTCCTATTACCTAAGGTTCATTAGAGCTGAAATGGCTAAGTTTTCCAAAAATTATGTTTTCCGAATAAAATATACTCGAGTCCAATTATGAGTTGGGCATAGTGGTGGACACCTCATAATCCTAGTACTCAGGAGGCTAAGGCAGGAGGATCATGAGTTCAAGGACAGCCCAATGAGACCCTGTCTTAAAAAACAAAACAGTAACAACAAGAGACCAATCACTAATGCTCCATGTGATATATCAGATTAGGAATAAAGATGAATATTACACATATAAGTATGTGAAAGAAGTATAAAATTACAATAATTTTAACATAAAAGTTGGCAACAGAGCTAAAGAAATAAAGCTCATTAAGAATTACATATTCATAAAATTTTATAGATTCTTCCATATTGGGGAAATGAAATAATGACGTAAGAAATTATACTAACAATGGCATGATAATGAAAATACCCATCTTCTATAACCCAGCACAGACAGTCCAAAAAAATGGATATTTAAGATGTAATCCTCCTCCATTACCAGACAGCTGCTTTCCTAAGTGAGGTTCTTGAATATATCTATGGAACATTTTTCATGAAAACAAAATGATGCTTGTCACATACACATGGTGTTAATTCCTCCCAACTTTTCTTTGGAAGGCAATTCATTGGAAGCAAGTACTAAAAGCAACGACTTCACCTCAGCGACAGTATTTCCATATTTGCAGCCAACAGGAGATCCTCATGAATATCCCATGGTGGAATATGACCTTTGAAAGTGAGACTACAAAATGATCCTGTTCCATTTTAAGTGGAATTTCAGAACGTTGCCATTATACATTCCAGGTAAACACCAGCAGCCTCTGACTCTGCTACTGAATCTAGCAGAAGATCCCAGGAGGTCATTGTCACTGACAAAATGTCAGCTGTTCAGATCAAGTGCTGTTCAAACCCAACTGGAATTTAGGAATTTCTGCCTTCTCTCTGTCTATTCATGCAAACCATTCTATTATTTCCCTAATACTTTTTTAGACACCCAGCGATAAACACTGTAAGTTGCTTTATCATATGCTTTGTGGACTTAAATTTTAGAAGTCTTAAAATTCTGTTTATAACAAAAGTGCCACCTATGTCAGATACTTTGGAGAAGAGGGTGGTTTGCTGAGCACATACCCCAGGAATGTCTAAATTTTAAAGATCAGCAATTCTTCCTGTAGGCTATAGATAGACTTTTAATAAAAATCACATACATCTTGCAAATGGTTTTTAGTCCCCATGAAATAATTCATTCTGATATTGGTAACATAAAAACTGCCTTGGACTGAGAAAGGAAATGCCTGCCTAATACTCAGCAGGCTGGACCAACAGACACAGATAAGTCAACTGCAGAGTTCATAGAAATCGACATTTCTTCCAGGGACACTGCTACTACACAGGGTCACAGTGTTCTTTTTTGAGTGACTGCTGGCTCACTATGAAACTTTCTTTGATATCAAAGACTATCAGTGAGTTTGCTCTTTGAAACTATATCAGTAAAACTGAAATACCTCACTTGTGCCTGGAGGATCTCAGTCATTTGTTGACACAGAAAAGCTGTCTCAACTCCCACTCTAGGCAAAAAACACCACATCAAGGGATTTCTGGATACAGTAGTCCCCATTTATTTTAACTTTATTGTTTCCAAGGAAATGAGATCCTGGGCTTGCTTTGTAGACTAGATCTGGATATAAATTCCACTCTTCCTAGAATCCTACAGTAAGTAATTCTTTCTTGTCTACAGTATTCTTCCTCCATTGCATTGGGTCAATAAATCTAATTTTGTCTCAATATAGTCTTGTTTCTATTATTCTTAGGCTGACTGAGATAAGGCCACATTTTTCAACAAAGTGCTTCAACTCAAGAAAATACCTGCTGTTGAATAATAGCTCATAATTTTGAGTTTTGGCTTTCAGATATGGAAAAAAATAGAATACATCTCTGCTATAGTTTAGTTCCTTATGACCTGGGAATTTTAAATTCTATACTGGCTTCTCATCTAGGCAGAAACACTGTAAGAGCTAGGAAACCTGCTGAGTATTGAAATGATATTTTCTGTCTCTGATAAAATAACCTGTGGCAAAACTCTCCTGCTTCTAGAAATATCACAGGTGGAAACTCAAAGAAGACTTGCTAGTGTGACTCTGAAGCTCTTTATGAATCTCAAAGACATTTGGTATAGACACAGGGGTCAGGTCTCCCAAGACACAGTCTCTCTCTCTCCACCCCTGGTTTAAATGTAAGGCTGCCATATTTAAGAAATTATTTGGGAGTATGATTTAAAGCATATGCCTCTTCCTTACGGTTGGAAGGCTGCTCCAGACATACCCATGTGAGTAGCCATAATCATAGGCTGAGGTCCCCTTCCTACTGACTTCAGACCCGAAGGAGTGCTGGGCGGTCCCAAGACTGTAGGTCTGAGAGGCCTGCTGCTGGTGGGAGGAGGTGGATGCCTGACTAAAGGCCTCTGACTCCTGGCGGTGTGCAGCAGAGGAGCGGCTACTGTAGGCGGTGGAGCCATGGGTGTAGATAGCAGATCTCTTCTTCTCCTGCTGGTACTGGCTCATGGTGGTGCGAAGGTCTTTATTGCGGTAGCTGAGATCATAGTGCTGGTGGGACTTCTGATAAAAAGGCAATGACATCGTGTGCCCTTGAGGGAAGGAAGCAACCTATAAGAAGGCAACAATTCTTGAGTGAACAATCCAGGAACAAATTCCGAAGAACAAGTCATCTTATCAGTGTGTAAGACTTCAATACTCTTGTCTTTCCAAAGAGTAAATGGAGGTTGTGAAGTTCAACTTAACTGGTGATTCAATAAACTCCCTCCCTTCATAGCCCGTGTATTCTCTCCTGTCAGTGTACTTTTTTTTTCTTTGTATCTAGGAAGGCTTGATAATTTCCTACCCTGGCTTTTCTGCTTTTGCCTCAAACCCTGTATACTGCACATTTCTAATTTTCCAGCATTTCATTCTGATGACAGCTTCATTCTCCATATAATGATGGAGAGCAATGTGGTATTCATCCAACAAACAGTAAGTGAGCACCTACTATAAACCTGGAATTATTCCGGCACGAGAAATATGAGGTGAACCAAACAAAAATCTCTGCTTTAATAACCTTGAATAGAACTGTATGTTGTATTGTAGAAGGCTGACAATATTGAATATTAATAAGTAAGTTATGAGGTATAGCAGAGTGTGTTAAGTGACACAGAGAAAGCAAATAGAAAAGGTGGCATGGTTGCAATTTCAAACAGCCTTATCAGGGATGGATTCACTGGAAAGTAACATCTGAGCAAGACAATATTTGGGGGAAGAGTGACCAAAAGAACCCCAGTGCATAGCAAACAGGACAGTGAACCTGCAGGGGCTGGGGCAGGAGGTATAGGAGATGATATCAGAGAGGAGCATGCAAAGGGAAAGTACAAAGTCCTGTAGGAGACAGTAAAGACTTGGCTTTTATTCTGAAAGAGCTAAGAAGCCACTGGGAGATACCAATCTGAAGAACAGACTGTTGAGAGACAAGAGGGAAAGCTGGGAAATCAATTAGAAGACTATAATAGGCTGATTTGTACTACCCCCAAATTCATAAGCTGGAGTCCTAATCTTCATTACTTCAGAATGTGACCATGTATGGAGATAGGGTTTTCAAAGAGGAAATCACATTAAAACGAGCTCATTAGCATGGACTCTAATCCAATATGAGGTATTAGGAAATTAGGATACATATCTGTACATATAACAGAGGTAGACCATGTGGAGAGGCAGGAAGAAAAGGTCTGTCAACAAGTCCAGGAGAGGCCTCAGAATAAAACTAACCCTGACAATACCTTGATCTCAGATATCTAGCTTCCTGAATGGTGAGGAAATGAATCTCTGTTGGTCAAGATATCCAGTTTGAGATACTCTGTTATGGTGCACACAGACACAAAGGTCACTGCCATGGTCCAGACTAGCAATGACAGTAGTAGCAGTGGAAGCGTGAAAAATGGTCAGACTCCGTGTAGGGTTAGGGGATAAAACCAAAAACACTTGTTCAAAGTTCTGAATTACATACAATGTGAAGGAAAGAGAGACAATGCCAAGGTTTTTCCCTGAGTAACTGGAAGACTTAGGTTGCTAGTATCTGAGATGGAGAGGGCAAGACAACATCAGTTTGGGATGGGAGAACTGAAGACTGGCTGAGACATTATGCATTTGTGGTGTCTGCTGGACCTCCACATGTGACTATGGAGTACAGGGAGAGGTCCAGGATGGAGCTCTATATTTAGAAGTCAACAGAGTATGTGTGGTATGGGAAGCCAAGAAAACAGGTGAGAACAACTGTAAATGGAAAAGTCCTAGGACTGGTCCCTGGTGTCTGATAGTGTTATACACAAACTCTCTCAAATCTCATACACACTTCAAAATGGTATAGTTTCAAACCAGGAAAAGCATTTGCTCCATTAGGAAAATAAAGGCTTCCAGAGTTCCTACACAAAAAAGAGTATGGCAGCTGGCATTGTGAACCTGGGCTAGCTGCTCCACTGAAAGTCAGAGGTAGGTTTGCTTAGCATTGGGAGGGAAGACTTTAATTGCATTAGCTTTCTTGAATAATCTGTTCACTGACATGAGCGTATTAGTCACATGGACAGCCTGGGAGGAAGTAACAGCTTTACAGGAACCCTGCCCTCTATGCTCTAAATGCTTTTTGTGCATGTTCTGAAATACTATTCGAAAATTATATTTAAAAATTAGTTTTGAAGTAATCATTTCTTTCCAAACCTTGTTTTTCTTAAAAATTCTAAGTGAGAAAGAAGTGAATCCTTCTAAAATTGCCATATTTTTGTCACATTTATTTACTCATTTATTTTTTGTAGTGCTGGAGTTTGAACTCAGGGCCTCACACTTGTTAGGCAAACACTCTCCCATTTGACCCAGGCCCCCAGCCCTTCTTGCTTTTAGTTATTTTTGGAATAGGGTCTTGAATTTTTGCCTAGGTCAGTCTGAACTGTGGTCCTATTTATGTTTCCTGCCTTGGCTGGGATGGTAGGTGCACACCACCACATTCAGCTTAGTGGCTGAGATGGGGTCTTGCTAACACTTTTGTTTGGGCTTGACCATGATCTTCCTGATCTCTACCTCCCAAGTAGCTAGGGTTATAGGCATGAGCTACTATGCTTGGAGTAAAAATTTTTCTTAAAAAAATTTTATATTAGTATATATTAATAGTACAAGGGATTTCATTGTGATATTTTCATAGTGCATGGAATGTACTTTGATAATATCTACCCCCTTTATTATTTAAAACTGTTTTCTATTTAAACTACTTAAAAAGCCAGCATGTATTCCCTAGAGAAGAAACTTCAGCAAACTTCACTCCAGAAATATTTATGTTAGGTTCCATGGAAGATATCAGTCTACATGGCTTTTCCTAAAAGGGAAAAATAGCTACTACTAACAAGGAAACTCTGCTTCAGTCCTTAAATAGATTGCTGCTTTCTGTTTTTAAATATGCAGAATAATTAACATGCATAAAAAATAATTATTAGATGAATTTCTACAATATGGATATTAATACATCCATATAAAATTATGTTAGGCAGTCATGAAGATATTAGGTAAGTTTCTGTGATGAAACATAGCACATTATCTCATAGCAAATGCTATTTGAATGATTTCCAAATAAATATTTAATAACTAATTATTAATAATTTACTATTATAAAGTCGCTACCCAGATGATCTGAAATGCTATAATTTCCATAAAACAAAAATCTTTAAATATCTTGCCCCAAATTTTATTTTCCACTCTGTATTTTTATTTTCCCCAATATATTTATTTTTAATAATGTTTAATATCCCACATATTTGTATCCTGTATTACAAGTAAACAGGGTTTGCTTTTAAGTCACCGGAACTAACTGACCTAAAAGGAGATGGTAATGCCTTCTCTGCATCAAGTAAACAAGGATTATCCCAACACATTAGGTAAGATGGTTTTGAAAATAATTTAGGAATTTAGGAAGAAACAGAAACTCCAGGGCTGTTATCTTGATGTGAGACTTCCATACAGGCATCAGGGAGCAAAAACTGATGAAAGTTGTTCACAGTAAGTGTTCACTTCAGGATCATGATGTAGGGATCTGGGCTGCCTCTGAGCATTGCTAAACCACTCTCAAGTCAGGAATAGCGTGGCGTGTTCATACATTCATCCACAGCGCACTGTCAGAGCCAAATCACTGACCTGTAATCTAACAACTTCAGAGTGAATTTGCCTCCTTTTAGCCTAATTTGTAACCTGAGTATTGTTGTTCTATAGAGAAAGAAAAACACAGAACTTCCTGTCCATCACCCACTCCAGATTCTAAGCAAACTGTTAAACTATAATTTGAAAAGAGTACTTATAGTTGAACCTGAAACAAATGTGATCTTATAGTTTCTGGAACAGTAGCTAAATTTAAAAAGAATACAGGGATCTGAGAAGACAAGACTGCAGCTCCATGGCACCCTGCCGTTCTACTTCCCTTCCAATGCTTCATCACCCTATTTCTCTGTTATTCTGACATCTCTGTGAGAAGATTGCAAAGCTCAAAAGACGAAAAGAAGCCACATACACTGCAGTGCTTCTGAGCCCAGTAACTATCAAGTGCATTTCTCTGCCTCAATGGCACACTCACCAGTTTCCAAAGAAGGGACGGTAGGGGATATGTCCTGTCAGGCCGAGGAGCTGGATGAGAGGAGTAAAAACCCCACCTAGGCTGAATCCAAAAAAGAGTTAAGAGGCAGGGCTAAATGCAGGACTCTGGGGCCAGTTCAAAAATAATGCATGTGGTCAGGCAGCAGAATGTCAGGGCTCCACAGCCAGCCTTTTATGGCCAAGAAGGCAGATAAATATAGCAGCATTTGGAGAGGATAGTCCCAAACCCCAAGGAGGAGCGTGCAAGCAGGTACCTACCTCAGTAATGTCATTACATTAGTGCTAGTCAATGGGTCTGGATTGATTACACAAAACACAGCATTTTTATTAGGATATAACAGCTATATTCAACATTATCACTGGATATTTAAAAGTGTAATGGAAAGAGTGGTGTGTATTGAGAGCTAAAAATAGATGTAGTAATCTGATTCTCAAAATGGACTTCATGGAATTTTAATGCCAAGATATGACTCTGGGTGTGCTGTTAGTAAAAAATGTAGGACACATTTGAAAGACACAAAGAGAAAGAAAGAACTTGAGTCTAACTAGAGCCAAAACAAGAAATGGGCTATGCATGGAGGCAATTTTGACCTCACAATAGTCATTGTTCCTCTAATTTCAGGAAAATCTATGGAGTCAGTCACAGATTCAGGTCTGAATATTTGAGTCCCTGTTCATTAACTACAGTCTTTATTAACTATAGTCTTTTGAGAAAGAACTCAATGATCTAGCTTTTCTAAACTCAGAGAAGGGTCAGTCTAACTAACAAGAAATTCTTTGTTTTTCAGATGGCATAACTAAAGAGAGGAATAACCTCTGGTTGGAGCCGCTGCTGTGGGGTTTGATCAGACACACATTCCTGCCCATTGATACACTTCATAGCCAGGTGGCCTCAGCAGTTTATTTCTCCTACCTAAGCTTCAGGTTTTTTCCTCTGTAAAATGAGAATAACAGTATCCAAATGACAGGACTGCTGTGGAGATTAAGTGTGATGATGGAAATAAAACACGTCACCAGTGAATGCCACATAATAAAGGCTCAGCAAATGTTAAATATTGTTACTGATAGTGATGATATAAAAGTTCACTGTCAAGATTATATGTATTTTGATACACTAGGCTTTGTTCTGACAATTGATTATACTGACTGAATGTAGATCAATTATATCTATCAAAATATCAAACAGACAAAATATAGCATACTTTATAATTACTTTTAAAAAATAATTTATTTTTTAATTTAAACATTTTGTTACATAAAAACATCAACATTGTATGTATTAGTGGGTTACCATCAATGTACCGTTGATACGTCTATACAACATTGCATAATATTTAAACCAGGATAAGCAGATCCATCTCCTCAGACATTTATCATTTCTTTTCCTTCTTTTTTTTATTCATTCTTTTATTTTTTGGCAATACGAGGGTCTAAACTTGGGGCTTTGCACTTGCTAGGCAAGCACTCTACCGCTTGAGTCAGACCTCAGCCTTTTCTGATTTGGTTATTTTGCTTACCTCTGCCTCTCAAATAACTGTGATTATAGCTGTGAGTCACTCCACCTAGCAAGCACTTATTATTTCTTAAGTAAAAACATTTAAAATCCTTTCTTCTAACTTTTTGAAATGAACAGTGCATTATCGCTGTCTATAGCTATCCTACTGTTTAATAGCACACCAGACCTTCTTGTTCTTATCTAATTGTAACTTAGTACTTAGTATCCATCAATAACCGCCCCCCACCTCACCCTCTGGTAACCACCATTATACTCTCCACTTCCACAAGAGCAACTTTTTTTAGATTCCATATATGAGTGAGATCATGTGGTACTTGTTTTTCTGTACCTGGCTTATTTCACTTAACATAACGATCTCCAGTTTCATCCACGTTGTCATAAATGACAGGGTTTCATTTTTAATGGCTGGATAATATTTCACTGTATATGCACCACATTCTCTGTTTTCCTTCATCAGTTGATGGACACTTATGTTGTTTCCATTTCTCAGTTGCCGTGAACAGTGCTGCAGTGGGCGTGGAGTGCAGATGTCTCTTTGATTCATTTCCTTTGGATATATACTCAGTAGTGGGGTTTTTATTTTTTTTGAGGAAAGTCCTCACTGTGTTCCATAGTGGCTATACTAATTTACATTCCCACCAACACTGTATGAAGGTTCCATTTCTTCATGTCTTCAGTAGCCCTTACCTTTAGTCTTTTTAATAATATTTTTCTTTCTTTCCCTCTTTCCTTCCTTTTCTTTCTCCCCTCCCTCCCTCCCTCCATTCTCCTTCTTTCTGAGACAGAGTCTCACAGGCATGTGACACCATGCCCAGCTATAACTTCTTTCTCCCTCCCTCCCTCTTCCTTTCTTCCTTCCTTTTCCTTCTCTCCCCCCATCTCTCCCCCTCCCAACTCCCCCTCTGGGCCAGCACTTGCTAGGCACTTGAGCCACATCTTTAGTCCTTTTTGCTTTAGTTATTTTTCAGATAGGGTCTCATGTTTTTGTCCCACCAGCCTTGGACTATCCTTCCACCTATGCCTTCTGCATAGTGGGATTACAGGCCTGTACCCTCATACCCAGCTTTATTTGTTGAGATGGAGTCCTCACTAACCTTTTGCCCAGGTTGGCTTCAAACTGTGATCCTCTTGATCTTTGTCTCCTAAGTAGCTGGGATTACAGGCATGAGGCACTATACCTAGTCTCTGATTACCTTCTTGATCACAACTATAGTTAACACTATTGAGGATCTATCAAGTGCCAGACACTGGGACATGCACTTTATATTCATGAGTCCATTGAATTCTCATCATATCCTACAAGCTAGGTATCATTAGCCCTGTAATATAGCCAGAACTTCAAGAAGTGAAGTCATTTGCCATGAGTACACAGCTTGTGGATGACACAAATGCAACTCATTCAGATATTTGGATTCCAAAGTCCATGTACTTGTTGTCATGTACTCCTGTATCCTCCAATGATACTTTGTTGATAAGAAACTAGATGTTTTGAAATGATCTTTCAAAAGTGCACTATTGGTCTCCACTCATAGCAGCGGTCAGCTTCTAAGCTATCCAAAGTATGTGAAAGAATGTATTCCACTTAGTTCCTGATCCAATTTCCCTGTAAAACTCAACCTGGCATTTATTCATTTACGTACACCTCCTATTAGTGGGAATATGGAGAATTTAGCTGTCTGGAATCTATAGGTGAGTTTTATAAAAAACGCTTTATGTTTTGCAAGCATCTATTTGTTGTCTAGAACCAACACAGAATGCAATGATTCTTTTCAAACTCTATCCACCAGCACTGGAATGGCTCCTGATAAGCCATTTCACTGGATAACATAGTAAGTTGCTTCAAATCTTCTCAAAGCAGGAAACAGGAAAAATATGCATAAATAAGGGAAATAAATTATCAGAGTACTAATATTTAATGACTACTATATGCCAGGCATTAATGCTAACTACTTTACAGAATCTTTCTTGAGCATCAAACATATGTAAAAACAATGCTTTATAAAGAAACTGGAACTGGTATTTACAGAGATTAATTTTTTTTTTAAGTGGCACTGGAGTTTGAACTCGGGGCCTTATACTTAGTAGGCAGACATGCTACCACTTGAGCCATTCTGTCAGGGAGATTAATACCCTTAAAGTCACGTGACTAAAATGTGACAGGGAATTCAAAGCCAGGTCTGTTCTACACTGAGCCAAACTTCCTATTTATCATATTGTGCTACCTCTCAACCACTCAAAACATACACACTCTCTATCTATATACATATGAAGAATACCATGTGCCAATAATGTCCATTAGAAGGAAGAATTGCAAAGGAAGAGCTCCATGCATTTCTTATATAACAAACAAAAATCATTAGATCAAAATGTAGGGGCTTTGACTGGAGGTGTGGCTCAAGTGCTAGAGTGCCTGCTTTGTAAATGTGAAGCCCTGAGTTCAAACCTCAGTCCCATAAAAAAAAATATAGTGGCTACATTTATCAATGTATCAATACTTTGAAATACTTACAAAACTTTGTTCCATGTTAAGAATGCAAAATGAGAAAAGTCCATAGGTATCATTACATATTTATGTACTCATTGACATTCAGAAGCCTATAGTAAAAGCTAAACAGTTTATTCTAAACAACTATACAACAAGATTGGATAAGAGAAATGTGAGCTGGATTCAGCCTACTGTCCTAATGATCTTTCTGCTGTAGCAATGTCTGGATCCAGCTCTTTCTAACAGTGTATTTATCCCAAATATAACTATCCAGATAAGTTACACAGTGATACACTGGATAACAAAACTAAAACAAAATCTTAGTTGGGCTGTGTGTTAGTCAGACTCTTCATTACTGTGACAAAATACCTGAGAAAACAATTTAAGGGGAAAAGGATTTATTTTGGCTCACAGTTTCAGAGATTTCAGTCCATAATCTCTAAGGTTATTTCCAGCATTATAGCCTGTGTTATCAATCCCAAAAGTGGCTCTTCTAGTCTTGCCTTGCTCATAAGCTTATTATCAACATCCTATGTGCAGCAATTTAGGTGAGGAGAGAATAAAATACATCCTTCGTGTTCCAGAAAGTCTGCTTGTGGTTGGTAGCTCCCATCTTAAATGCTCCTTTCTGGGTGTAATTTTATGACTTCAATTCCTACTATACTGAAAGTAATCCAGAAATGTGTTTCAGCATGTTATCATTTCTTTATGTCTGTGTGTTACAAGTAGGGGAGGTAAGAGTGAAGGAGAGAGAGGATGATGGTGGGAAAAGGCTAGAATATAGGACTTTTATCAGAAGCCAAATTTCACCTACTTATTAATGTACTAGATCTAAAATAGATGAACTAGATCTAGATCTAAAATTAAAGCTAGTGCTAATGTTGCCTGTGTCTGGGCAATGGCAAAATGAAGCCAACACAGATACTGCCTTGCATTAGGACAGGCTGTGGGGGGCCCAAGTAAGCTCCATCCCCAACTGGGATGGGGGAAGAAATTCTGGACCAATGGTTCTGGAAAAGGGCAAGCCTACAACAGTACAGAACTGGCAGGTAAGTAGTGAGACAGAGCCCTAACCCTTACTCAGATTCTGACCTACCTTCCTGCTCC